TTTCCTCTCTCTCTCTCTCTCTCCTCTCACTCTCTCTCTCTCTTCTCTCTCCCCTCTCCTTCCTCCCTCCCTCCCCCTCTCTCTCTCTCTCTCTCTCTGTCTCTCCAGAGCCCACCCCAAGAAAGACCACCAAGTGGCGGCTCCTCCCCCTGAGATGCTGGAGACCACGCCTACAGGGTGGTTTCTCCTCTTCCCTTGGGATCACCTGAGAATGCTTTGCTCAGTTTCAATCCTGAACTTTAATTCGGTTTGATTCAGCCTGATCTGAATTATCGCATTGGCAGAGAACCCCAATATTGAGGTACAGAAACCTTTCACATAGCTCACTATATCTGCCATTTTTAAAAATTTTTAAAAGAATTATTCATTTTATGTGTATGAATATTTCACCTACATGTATTTATGTGTATCATGTGCCTATGGAAGTCAGAGAAGGTGTTGGTGCCCCTGGAACTGGAGTTACAGATGGTTGTAGGTGCTGGGAATTGAACTCAGGTCCTCTGCACAGCAAGTAGTGTGCTTAACCACTGAGCTATCTCTCCAGCCCCATTTTTAAAATTCCTAAGTTTTTCATTTTTGTTTTTGTTTTGAGACAGGGTGTCACTATGTAGCTCTGGCTGGGGTAGAACTCATTATATAGACCGGGCAGGCCAGAAATCTGCTTGCTTCTGTCTCTAAAGTGCTTGTATTAAAGGCATGTACCACCACCCAAACCCCAAAATTCTTAGGATTGATGAACATTGAAGAGGAGATATACTTTTAGTATATAATCTACCTTGTATATGTATGTATACTAATTATGTATGTATGTATGCAGTATATACATATATATTCATACATGCAATGCATGTCAAGTATTTAAAATCTTCCCTACTAGTCGATAAAGTCCTTCTATATTCTAAAAGCTTTAAGCCAGGCCCTTTTATATAAAAATCCATGAAATGCATACCTTTTGGTTATTTCAGATGTAATGGAAGTGTGCCTGAGGCCTAGTACAACGGTAGTAGACTCTTGCATAGTACATACAAAGCTCGGACTTGCGTGGCCAGGGCTGAAACATGAAGAAGCTAGTTAAATGCAGGGAAAGCTGACACCCGCTGCTAACCTTGTGTAGAGAAAACTCTGCACAAACTGTGAACATCAGACTTTCTAAAGCTCTGTTTACCATTCTCATTGGCAGCATGAACCCTAGGGAGCTTGGCCTCCAAATGAGGGTGGACTGAAGTGTCATGCTGTAGCCAGCTTTATTCAGAGCATCAGACAATTAATACTGAGGGCTGAAAGCATCACATGAGTAAGGTGCTCAATCACAAGGACATGTTTTTTCATAGAGGCGCATGAATTACAGCAGCTGAAGTAAACTCACTCCTATCTGCTACACCTGAGAGGAGCATGAAAACACATTGCAAGAACAATTCTGTGTTTTGAAGAAACTGAGGTTGCAAGACTCTTGTCTTCTATATACTGTTCAAGGGCAGCAGGCTGGACATTGGGTATAGTACTGCCTGCTATCCACAAGTTTTCCTTTTTGAGAAATAGCCCTGAAGCTATAGTTACTTTTGAAACTAGAAATTTGAGGGGTAAGGTGCTCATAGAAAACGTGAAAAACGATTTTCTGAATGCAGCCCTGTGTTGCAAAAGTAACTGCAACTCTCATTGGTTAGGCAAACACTTGAACCAAAATACAAATGCATCTGAAGACCAGCTGATACCATTCTGTTTCTTGAGGTGACACTGAAAATCCATACACTTTCTACTATTCACTTACCAGTTCACATTTATTGTCTACTATGTGCCAGGCACTCTTCTTCATCTTTTTCCTCTTTTGAATTTTTTTCATTTTTTATGTCATATGTAAGGGTGTTTTTTGCCTGTATATATGTTTGTGCATCACATGTTTGCTGTGCCTGAGAAACCAGAATTGGATCCCCCGACACCAGAGTTACAGATGGTTGTTAACTGGCACGTGGGTGCTGGGAACTGAACCCAGATCCTCTTAACTGTGCTCTTAACTGCTGAGCCATCTCTCCAGCTCCCCACTCCCTAGGTACTGCTCTTGATGTAGAGTACAGACGTGAACAAACAGAGATCAATGTGCTTATGTGTGAGACCCTAGATTTGATCTCTATAGCTCTAAAGAACAAAAACAAACGTTGTGTGTCCTATGGATGGGTACAGACAATAGGAAAGAAATCCAGGAAACATAGAACTCATAATGCCAAGTAAGTGCTCAGGGGAATAAAGCACAGAAGGGAGACATGAAATATGAAACAAGAAGAGGAATTTTAAGTAGCATGACTAGAAAAGTCTTACAGGACAGTGACACTTGGATCAAGACTTGAATGACCTGAGGGAGGTCGTCTGCAGACATGTGGAGGAGCATTCCAAGCAGAAAGAAACATCAATGACAAAGGCCTTGTTTTGAGACAGTGTCTGTCACTGCTGGGCAGCATCAACGTTGCAAGGGGTCTCCAGGACGAGACTGAGGGCATAATAGGGGATGACATCAAAAAGATGCCTAGAGCTAGGTCATAAAGGGCTTCATGGGTAGTGAGCAGAGTGACATGATCTGACTTCAACAGGATCACTCTGGCCACTGGGATTTGAAAATAGATTTGAGTCACGATGAGACTACAAGGATCATCTAGGACTCAGCTTTGGAAACTGAGGGTTGAGACTCCAGATGGGGTCATGTAACTGAATGTGAGGGTTGTGAAAAATTTTGTCAGCAGTAAAGGGACATGTAATGATCAAATACTGATTCCAGATCAAGTGTGTTGAGTGCAGAGCTTTTCTGGAAGCACTCACCAGCACGGCATGAAGTGAAGTTACTGCAGCATTGGCTCTGAACACAAGACATGTCCTTTAGATTGGGTGCTGTCCCCCATCAGCACTGATGAATGCCACCTAAAACACCTTGGCTTGGATTCCAGATGACCTGATGTTAAGGGTGGCAGTGGTTTATTGTATGTATAAGGTTTTCTGCTCTTATGGAAGCACAGTGTAATGGCTTAATTATGGAAACAAAGGCTTTTAATATTTCTCCACCATTATCCCTCAGCATGTAAGTACCTAGTGTGTCTGTAGGCTGTATTGTGTTAGAATGTTTGTTTTTAAAAGTTGCTGTTTGAAGAACTGGAGAGATAGCTCAGTAGTTAAGAGCACTTGCTGCTCTTGCAAAGGACCTGGGTTCAGTTCCCAGCACCCAAGCAGTGGGTCAAAACCAACCATAAAGCCAGTTTCAGGGAATCGACGGCTTCTTCTGGCCCCTATGGGCACCAGGCATACATGTGGCACACACATGAAGGAAAACACTCATGCACACAAAATAATTTTTTAAAGACCACATTAAGAATCTTTTTAAAATGTTAAGAATAGTTGTAGTTTTAGCCATGTGTAGTGGTACACTGGTACACTCATAATCTCAGCACTTGAGTAGCTGAGCAGAGAGGTGGGTCAGGAGTTCAAAGTTACCCTCAGCTGTGTAGTGAGTGCTAGGTCAGCCTGGCCTACTTGAAGCCTTGTGTCACCATTACCACAATCCCTGCAAAAAACTTTTTTTGCTGTTTGAGTTGCTGATTTGAGTCTTTATTTATTTATTTTTAATTGAAATGAACTTAGTCTTGGGATTGGGACAGAATTTCTGACATTCTGAAATATCCTTAAACATACATTTGCAATTTTGTACTATGTGCTTATGTAAAGTGGTGCTCTCAGCATTGATAATTATAAAAAGAAAAAACACCACCTCTGAAAAATGTGGAAAATGCAGGCTGGTCAAATGGCTCAGCAGCTAAAGGTGACTACCACCAAGCCTGACAACCTAAGGCTGAGTACCAGAATCTGTTGGGTGGAAGGAGAGAACTGGCTCCTCCTGCAAATTGTCCTCTGACCTCCACACATGTGTCATGGCACACAAATGCTTACACACACACTAAATGTAAAGCAGTATTGAAGATACTCTGTCCTGCATTATTAAATATTCAGCTGAGATTAATTCTTTATGAAAAAATGAACCAGGACATCCATCTCAGTGTGAAAATTTGCCTTTATATTTTAAAAATGGCAAAACTCTATGTATACAAATAATTGGTTTAAAATTAATTTATTTCCTCTGAGAACCCCTTTATGCAACCCCCAATGTATAGATATATAAATTAGTTGTTGATTGTATTTTACTCTTTTGGGGGCCTGCCACCCAGCTCCCAAATAAATACACAGAGTCTTATTCTTAATTATAAATGCCTAGCCTTATCTTGGCTTGTTTCTTGCCAGCTTTTCTTAACTTATCCCATCTACCTTTTGCCTCTGGGCTTTTTCCTTTCTTACTTCTGTAATCTTACTTTCACTCTTACTCCATGGCTGGCTGTCTAGCTGGTGGCTGACCCCTGATGTCCTCCTCCTTCTCTGGCTACTTCTTCCTTTTCTCCTTCTCTATATAACTCTCTGCCTGCCAGCCCAGCCTATCCTTTCTTCTGCCTCGCCATTGGCCGTTCAGTTCTTTATTAGACTATCAGGTGTTTTACACAGGCACAGTAACACAGCTTCACAGAGTTAAACAAATACAACATAAACAAAAGTAACACATCTTAAAATAATATTCTACAACATAAATTAGGCACACAAATCAAATATTTATAACCCAGGCTGGCCTCAAGCTCACAGAGGGACTTGAATATCTTGATCCTCCTGCGTCTTCCTCCCCAGTGCTGGAATTATAAGCAAGTGCTATCAGGCCAGGTTTTGCATACCAGGGATCAAACTCAGGGCTTTATGAATGCCAGGCAAGCACGCCACCAACTGAGCTACATCCCCAGTACGTTTCCCTTTTCAATTTATTTTTTGAAAACTTGTGTGTATATATGTGTGTGTCATGAGTGTTTGTAGACCAGGTGAGTGCAGGTGCCTGGGGAGAACAATGGAGGCCATGGGATAGATGCCCTGGAACTGGACTTAGAGGTAGTTTTGAGCTGCCATGTGGGTGCTGGGAAAAAAACCCAGATCCTCTGCAAGAGCCATCTCTCCAGCACCTTTTTCAATTAAAAATATTTATTTATGTATTTATGAATGTATGTATGTATTTATTCTTTTTGAGACAGAGTCTTGTATAGTCCAGGATGATCTCAAAACTCACTACTTAGCAAGGATGACCTTGAATCCCTGATCCTCTTTGCCACACCTCCCAAGTGTTAGGATCACAGGCGTGTGCCACCATACCTGGCCATCCACTTTTTAAAAGAATCTGTTCAATCTAAAATCGTCTTGTTTCATATCACGTAAATAAGCTGAAAGGTCAGGGCACTGCATTTTCACTGCTCAGCTAAAACTGAGAATTATCACACCATTCCTATTTCGCGCTGCCATTAGGAAATTAAGGCCCCTTTGAACCTCACACAGACTTTTTTCCGAACTGTCAAATTCAAACGCAAGTGTGCCTTTGTCCAGATACCTAAGCCGCGGCGGACTAGCCCACGGGGGCTGTGCACGCTGGGAGTTGTAGTTCGCCTCTCTCCCTGCGAGCAGGGTCTCAGTCACAGGAGCGCCTCCAGCGGCGAGCACATTTGGTGGCGCCGGGTGCGCGCCGAAAGCAGGAGCGTCTCCTAGCAACGGGGGAGCGGAAACGTCACCGAGGCGTGTTCTCAACGCTGAGGCCAGGTGGAACCGCCAGTGCACCTTCCAGCCGCTGCGTCGGACCTCCTCCGCCGCCGTGCGCTGCAGTTCCTGCCCCGGCTGGTCCCGAGCTACCTCCCGCGAGTCTTCGCCACTGCGGCCCGCCGGCCTGGGCTTTGGCCACGGTGGGACGATGCTGGAGTCTATTCGCGTGACGGGTGAGTGCAGACAAGGCCCGCCCCGGTGGCGCGGCTGCAGCGAGTGGAAACCGTTGGGGTCGGGACTTGGAGGACCGAGAGGTAGCAGTCGCGTGTGCGCGCGGCGCGGCACCCCAAGCCCTGCAGAGAGATGGGAGCGCTGTCCCTTTCTGTTGTCAGTCACTAGCCACGGGTACTAGCTGTGCAGTCTAGAGAGTGTAGTCTAGAGTACAGTCTGATTTCAGAGCATTTTAGTGTGCAGTGAGGTGTTCTGTTTTCTAGAATGTTCACAAAAAAGTCAGCTAAGGAAACATTTCAGTGTATGTTTTGTATGCTTTTATTCTAAAACATCTTGAATTGATGTTATTAATAAGAATGGGTGTTTAGATCCAAGGTTGGAAAGTTTGTCTTTCACTTTTAAGTAGCTGTTCATATTAGCTATATTTAAATCTTTAATAATATTATACAGTTCCTGGGCCGTTTCCCCTGCGTTTGATTCTGCATGAAAACATTTCTTCAGGACAGGTACCAAAACAACAGAGTTAAGGGAAATAGCTAATTCCCAAACTAGAGTAAAAAAAATAAGTCTAGAACTTTTAGCTTCAGGGTCTTGCAGTACCTAGAAGACAAGTTTTCTGAATTAGTTGTTTTGAGACAGGAGCTGACCACCTTACCCAGACTGGCCTTGAACTCATGATCTTTCTGCCTCAGTCTCCCAAGTGCTGAGATTATGGACATCACTGGCTAAGACTTTTTTTTTTTTAAATTAGCATGCAAAATAATAGGTTTCATTATGGTACTTTGAAACTCATATATGTATGTTGCAGCAGTATTTTTTAAATTGAAAAACTAAATTATTTTTCAGTGAAAATATTTCTGATCTTAATTTCTTATACTATGTGCAGAAGTGATTTTTGTGCAAACCTGGTAACCTATAGTTTACCATGTTATGTTGACAGGAAACTTAGTTATAAAAGCCAAGATCTTAGAGGCCACTTAAATTGGCAGTAGGCTTTTTACAATTGTGATTTGACGTAGATATCACTTTTGTCTCTAGTATTTTTTTTTTTTTTTTTTTTTTTTGGTTTTTTTCGAGACAGGGTTTCTCTGTGTAGCTTTGCACCTTTCCTGGAACTCTCTAGGTAGCCCAGGCTGGCCTCGAACTCACAGAGATCCACCTGGCTGTGCCTCCCGAGTGCTGGGATTAAAGGCGTGTGCACCACCACCTCCCGGCTGTCGCTACTATTTTTAAACATTGTTACAAAGGGGTTTCATATTTATCATCATCATCGTTGTCGTCGTTTTAGACAAACTCTCCTGTAGTCTAGGGTTTTTTTTTTTTCTGAAATATCAATCAATTAGTGAATGGGACAGGCAAACCCTCTATGAAGAGATCGTAGCTGAAAACACACCTGGACTATCCTGACTCTCCCTCACTTGGCTTGGTGTCTCAGGAGCTCATTTTCTTCCTGTTAGCAGAAAAACCTGATTGTGGTAAGAGTGCTGATGAAAATGCATTCCTTCTTTTTTTAAGCTTTGAAATAGCAGTAAATTTGCCAGGCTGGTGGCATAGGTCTGTAATCCCAGCTACTCGGGAAGCTGAGGCAGAAAGATGGCAAGTTCAAGGTCTTCCTGGGCAATTTATTGAGAGCCTATCCTAAAATAAATGTAAAGGAACTGGGGAGCTGTGGAGAGAGTGCTTACCTAGCATGCAAGAAGCCCTGCTTCCGTACCAAGTACCATGTCAACTGGGCGTGTTAGTGCACACTTAGGACCCTGGCACTCAGGAGGTAGGAGGATCAGAAGTTCAAGCAGGAAAAAAAAAAAGCTGTAAATATAAAGTGCACATTATGTTTCAAAACTGAAGTGCAGTTATTTGTGCAGTCACTTTATACCCACGATGTACTGTGATCTAAATATGACGTCCTAGTGAAACTGCTGCTTAGAGAGTGAGGTGACACAGGCCCCGGGGGGGCTGTAGAAAACACTGTATGTTGTGTGGAAATGGTATCAACTCAGAAACGGCTTCTCTGCCTTCTTTCCTCTCTCCCCTCCTCTCTCCATTGCTCCTTTGTCTTGTTCTCTCCTGTTTTTCTACATAGCACAGAGTGGCCTCTTGTCTTAGTCTCCTGAGTGCTGGGATCAGAGTTTGCAACACCACACCTAGCTCCCCTCTTAGAACCTTTCCTTCTTCCTTCTCTTTCCTCCTTTTAGACACACTGCCCCACTTCGTAGTCCGGACTGGTGCAGGACTCGCAGTATCCTGTCCCCAGGATCTTGTGAGGAACCACACCTAGCTGTTTCATTGTCTTACACTTCCTGGGATGGTATTCTTTTCCATCAAGCCTCAGGCAACCAGCTAAAATGGTGGAGTGCACCTGTAACCTCAGGATTTGGAAGATCAGGAGTTCAAGGTTATCCTTGAACACAGTGAGTTTGAGGCCAGCCTGGGATATGTGAGACCCTGGCTCAAAAAACAAAACCAAACCCTCAGTAGCCTGGCATGGTGGTTCACACCTATAATCCCCAGTATTTGGTATTACATTTCAGTAGCTTTTTTTTTTTTTTCTTCAGTTTTTGTTTTGAGCCCAGGTCTCAGTTTGTAGCCGTCTGGCCTGGAACTCTCTAGTAGACCAGTTAGCCTCAAAATCAAGAGATCCACCTGCCTTAGCCTCCAGAGTGCTGGGATTAAAGGACTTCACCGTAATGCCTGGTTTCCTTTCAGTTTTCAGAGGCAGTCTCACTGTGTAGGCCATATTGGCCTCAAATTGGAGCTCCTCCTGCCTCTGCCTCCCAAGTGCTAGGGTTACCATTCTGAACCACTATACGAAATGTGTACTTCCTAGTCCCAGTTGAGACTACCTCAGTATTACCCTGTTAATAATAATCCTCAAGTATTTGTTTTTTCTCTTTACGTGTGTGTGTGTGTGTGTGTGTGTGTGTGTGTGTGTGTGTGTGTGTGTAAGGGATTCAGGAGGGTGAGCATGCCGTACCATGTCTGACCTCCACATGGCGGTCAGCATGATTTTCAGGGTTTAGTTCTCTCCTCCTACTTGGTGAGTTCTGGTGATGGAACTCAGGTTGTCGGATTTGACGACAGCCCCTTTACCCCCTGAGCCATCTTACCAACCCTAATAAGAGCCTTCTAACATGAGACTTGTTTTTTTGTTGCTTCTACAGTTAGAAATCTGTGATGATGGTGGTGGTAGTGAAAGAGAGCATTGACCGTAACTTAACAACAGAAACAAATTTTTCCCTAGCTTTAGGAGAAAAACCTGTCCACAGCTTTGCAGTTCAAGTCCGATCCCTCCCTACAGCCTCATCACCGCCGGCATCCCCCTGAGTCTCCCCGCTCCTGTCATGTGTCAGTCGGTCTCCCAGCTCATTATTTTCTCCCTAGACACCTCTTCTCTCAGGATGTTTGGGTAATAGCTGCTCATTCTTCATTTCAAAGAGCATTTCCTTTCAGACTCTCCTGACACCTTGAAGTCATCTTGTTGAAGTAGCTGCCATGGTTGAAGTTTCACATTTGGTGTATTGATGGCCTTTCCCAGGAACAAAACTATGAAGTTTGCAGTGTCGGCCTGCTCACAGCTGGTTTTGTTCACCTCCCTGCATATGGAGGGAGATGGAAAGGTAGCCTAGGGAAGGAAAGACTTGAGAAGAGAGAAAGAGTGGAGAATTTGGTTGCTTGAATTTTGTTTTCTGTTTTCTTTCTTTGTGCAGGGGCAAGGGAGTGTTGTGTTTTAGATAGGTTCTCATTCTAGCCCGGATTGGCTTGGAACTCACTGTGTAACCTGGGCTGGCCTCCTTTCTCAGTGTCCCGTAAATGCTGGGATTACAAGCATAAGCCACAGAAGCCTAGGTTAGTTTTGCTGCTTCTGAACTAAATACAAATGTAATCAGTACTGGCTTCCTTTATCCAACATTATCTGATGTTCCTTAACGTTGTCACTTGTAACCTGTCTTGTTTTCATTGCAGACTACTCCAGTATTCTAATAAATTAATACTGTTGATAGATATCATTTGAGCTTAAGTGGTGAAATACCTGGTAACATTAAAGTGCTTATCTTTGGACATTATGGGGTTTTCGTTTTGCTCTGTTTTACACCTGTGTTTGCAATATTAACCCAACTTGTCAGGTTTTATAAGTATTAGTGAATCATGAAACTTTCATTGGCCTGGGAGTGTGTGTAGCTAACTGTGTGACGTATGTAGACCCTAGGCTCAAAAGCCAGTCATAGGCAGATCTCTTGAGTTCTAGGCCAGCCTGGTCTACGTAGAGAGTTCAGGCCAGCCAGGGTGACACAGTGAGGTAGTGTATTAAAAAAGGTGGGGCAGCAGTTAAGAGTGCTTGTTGCTTTTTAGAGGATCAGAGTTCCAGCACCCCTGTACCAATGGCTACCAATAACTCTGGCTCTGAGAGAGCCCACCATCTCTTCCGGCATCTGAGGCACCTGTACACAAGTGGCATGTATTCATTCAAGCACACACGGAAAGTCACGTTAAAAACAAAACAACAAAATGCTGAGCCAAAAGCAGGAAAAGGAGGAAGAGAGACCCAGAACAGACAAACACAAAGTGCTGTTTTGTAGGCCAGAGTTGTTGACTGGTATTTTTCCACCAGGTGTTGCTTTCGCTGGTCTCTCTTCCAGCCAGGACCTTATCATTCTTCTGAAACCTAACCATTCTCAGTAGTGAAATACTCATTTATTGAGTGGTGGCCCTTTTCCCTCCTGCTTTTAGATAAGGAACAAGAGCCCCTGATGGGTTTAATGATTGGGCTGATATTACAGAGAGTCATTGAAAAGCTGGGGATAAAGCCAGGAATCAGGGTGTCCTTTTCTCATGTTCTAGATAGATATGAAGCTTTTGTCGTGTTGGAAAATTCAGTGTATTTACCAGAGTACTAATGCTGAGAAGTCATTTTAATGCACTACTACTTCTACTTTAAAATGTTCAATTAGCCTAGACTGGTTTGTATATTCGTGGGATGTTTCATAATGTATTGGTGTTGTATTAGACCCTCCTCACCTTCTCATCCCTCTCCCACTCCATTGCTTTCCTCCTTCCAGCTAGTTCCCCTTCACTTCATGTTTTGTTGGCCTGTGGAGGGAAACTTACAGGGATATGGGTGAGGGGCAGTTGACAGAAACATGGGCACTTCACCAGTGACCACTAATGAAAAGTTCCCTCCCTCCTCCAGTAGCCACTGGCTGGCTTGATCTTGTGTAGGTCTTGTGAGGCAACTAGAGCTACTCTGAGTTCATGGGTGCAGCAGTCCTCCTGTGACCAAAAGACCCTAGTTCACAGCAGCCCTCCCTGTTTTCTGTCTCTTAGAACCTTTCCACCTTCTTTTCTGTAGTATTCCTGAGCCCTGGAAGTAGGGGAGCTGATTATTCCACAATCACATCTAGTTGTGAGTCTCTGTGTTAGATGACGTACGTCTACTGCAGTAAGAGCTGAGAACTGTACTATAGTATAAGGATAAGTATTTATTAGGCAGTTCCATGCTATGTCCATTTAGCAAAGTAACAGTAGTAGGTTCTTCCCAAGGGCATTCGACCTCCTCAGTCACAGGTTCTTGGCCAGCTTTGCAGTCCCTCCAGGTTTTTAATGAAAGATTTGTGATTGGCTGAAGTGCTCTGGATGTAGGGGACAACTTGTGGGAGTCATTCTGTCTCTTTACCATGTGGGTTCCAGGAATCAAGCTCAGGTTGACAGAATTGATGGCAAGTACCTTTGCCCACTAAGCATCTTGATGGCCCTTACAATTTTTGTTTTTTGAAACACAGTTCTAGTTCTGTAGCTCTGGCTCACTTTTAACTATGACAATACTTCTGCCTCAGCCTCTCAAGTACTAGGATTAAATGTGTGAGCCATCACAAACAACTCAGGCTCTGTACTATTTAATACAGCTGAAATAGGATTAGTGTGACTGGGAAATAAATTCTACACATCTTAGATGAGTTTCATGCAGGACTACCATGTGGCTCACTTTGCTGGATGCTGTAGACTATCCAGCATTTGGCAGGATTGGCCTCACCATACGTTCTGGAAGACTCTAGAACAGATGGAAGGAGGCCTCCAGTAGATCATTAACAAGTGAACTGAAATGCCAGGATTCCTGGGGAGAGGGGTTCTGTCAGGCACCCCTCTGTTCCTTCCTACTCCTCCATGAAGATTTTGGCAGGATTGTTGTTTTTAATAGAATATCTTTTGTTTATTCTCTGCAGTTCCACACATGGTAACAACCATATGCACTTGATTATATGCACTTCCAGCTTCTCCCTCCTCCTCCTCCTCCTCCTCCTCCCAGGCAACCCGGCAAGGAGTGAGTGGGCTAAATAAAGATGTTTTGATACAGGCTTAAAAACAAGGGTAAGATATGCACTCAGAAGGAAGAAAGACACACCCAAGAAAGCATTGGTATAGCTTCTCAAAGCAGAGTCATGGGATGGAAGACGTACCCAAGTGTGGGTGGGTGTGGACTCCTCAAGGGAGGGGTGAGAGCTTTAGTTTTTGAGTATTTTGTTTTGTTTTTGTTTTTTGTGGTCCAAGCTGGTCTCAAATATTGTGTAGGTTTTAAGATAACCTTGAACTAATGATCCTCCTGCCTCCACCTCCTTCCCAAGTGTGCTACAACATTGTTAGTGATGCTGGGGGACCGAATCCAGAGCTTCATCCTCGCTACGTAAGGTAGGCTACATCTGCAGGCTCTGAGCTTTTTAAAGAGCCCTCTGGAGTATAGTAAGGCTTGTTTATAAACAGATCCTCACTGTATGGTCTTGGCTGGCCTGGACTCACTATGTAGACTAGGCTGGTCTTGAATTTACAGAGATCTACCTGCCTCTGCTTCTGCTTGGATTAAAGGTGTGTGCCACTATACCCACCCTTTTGAAACAGAAAAAAAAAAAAACTAATTTGGAGGTCCCTGGTACTTTATGACTAAATAAAATAAATCAATGAGATTAGTCCTGGGTCTTAAGTGTACTATAAAATTTCAAAATGTAAGCCCAGCACTGGGGAACTGAGGTGGGAGAATGCCAGCCTGGGCTGCATAATGAGTTCCAGGCAAGTCTGGCTTCCTCAGAGTGAGACCCTGTCTCAAAAAATAAAATAATAAAAATCAGCACAACATATAGGCTGTAAACTATAAAAATGGGAATTCTTCAGAGTAATTTTGCCACCATTCTGATTTCTGCTTGTAACATGCCAGGAGCCTGCCCCCAAGTGATAAACATAACATCTCTCTTTGGGTTTCTATGTGTAGCCTTGGCCTGGAACTCACTCTGTAGACCAGGCTGGCCTGGAACTCACAGAGATCTGCCTAACTCTGCCTCCCAAGTGCTGGGATTAATGGCGTGGGCCACCACCTCCCTGCCCATAGCACCTTATTTAACCATGTGTTGTGCTGTATTATTAAAAGGCTTCATAGGAATAGCCTGTTTTCAGAGTCAGAGTCAGTTGTAGGAGGGGGCTGTAACTGAGTGCTAGAGTGCTTCTCTAGAACGTAGAATCCGTGGCCTCCATCCCTAGCACTAGTGGGAACGCAGGCTGTGCACGGGACCAGTCTAAGTATGCATTTATATAGATGTTTAAAGATATGTGCCCAATATACCGTTCATTTGTGGAATAGAGAGATATAAATCTCTTGTACCTCATGTTATCTTAGAGCTCTCTGTGTAGATAAGGATGATCTTGGACTCTTGATCTTCCCGCTTTTATCTGTGAAATGCTGGAATTCCACATGTGAGCTATCATGACCAGCTAACAGCTTCAAAACTAGTACATGAGCAGTGGTCTAGACAACTCTTAACTGTTGAAAGCATTTGTGAGACTTAAGTACAGTCTTAAACTTGACATTTAAAATACTGATACTTTTGTAATAGTGATTTTTTTTCTTTTTTGGCAACAGCATCTCATGTAGCCCAGGCTGGCCTGAAAGTATGCAGCTAAGGATAACCTTGAAATTCTGATCCTCCTGCTTCTACCTTTCAAGTTTGGGAATTACAGGCATGTGCTACCACCACCTCCCCCCAAAATTATTGTTGTTGTTGTTTTCCATGCTGGAGAAATAGCAAACATTCTATCACCAAGGTACATCCCAGGCTCTCAACCAATTACTAATAGTGACTAATCTTACTAAAATATGCTTAAATACATATATATCATCAGTTGATTTTTTTTCTTTTAAACAGGATTTCACTGTGTATCCCTGGCTGACCTGGAACCCACTGTAGACTAGGCTGTTTCAAACTCATACAAATCTACTGCCTCTGCTTCCCAGGCTGAGATTAAAGGTTTGTGCCACTGCACCTAGCTGATTATCTCTTGAATCTTAAAAATGTTTTGTTTTTTCAGATAGAAAAGCACTGTTGTGTAGATGGACTTTTCTTTTTGGGCCACCAGCTCACTAAAAATGACACGGAGGCTTATTAATTATGAAATCTCGGCCTTAGCTTAGGCTTGTTTCTAACTAGCTCTTATAAGTTAAGTTAACCCATATTTTTAATCTACGTTCTTCCACATGCTCATTACCTCATCTCTAATATGTCCATCTTGGTTATTTTGAGTCTGGCTGGTGACTCTGCTCTTCTTCCTCCCAGCATCCTCTCTGCCCTGAAAATCCTGCCTAGCTATTGGCCATTCAGCTCCTTATTAAACCAATCCAAGTGACACATCTTCACAGTGTACAAAAAGATTATTCCACAACACAGTTGTGTTTGTATTTGGGGGGTTTTGTTCTTTCGGGGTGGGTGTTTGTTTAGTTTTAATTTTTTGTCTCTGTAGCCCTGGCTTTCATGGTACTTGATTGACTGATCTTGAGCTCAGAGATCCTCCTGCCACTGCCTCCCAAGTGCTAGGATCAAAGGTGTCACCAGCACTCCCAGCTACAGTTTGTTTTTAAGATAAATAAGGTCTTGCTACGTAACCCTGGGCTGCTACTCACTTGTTAGTCCAGGCTGGCCCCAGACCCCAGACAGTCCTCTTGAGTTAGTCTCCTGAGTTCTGAGATTGCCACAGCCTGCACTCTGCTGTTACTGGTGGTTCTCTTTGTATTTAGTTCCAAATGTCAAGATTGTATTAACCTTGAAAGTGTCTTGGATGGTGCTTTGATATTATTATAAAATGTGTCCTTGTGAAGTTCACAGTAGTGAGGTGTTTAGAGTATTCTTGTACATTATTTCATGTCTTATTAGACTTTGACCACATGGATAGCTTGAAGCTGAACAATTTGATATAATATTTATGTATCATAGTAATATGACCTTTTAATATTTTAAATAGCTTTTCTAAAGATATTTGCAAGTTATAAACAGAACCTTCAGGATACTTTCCATTTAATAAGCAATTTGCTTCACCTGGTATCTCTGTTGTTTCTTTGTTTTGATTTTGTTTATATCACAGAAAAGCTTCACTGGCCTGAGCATGAACTTGCTAAGAAGTCTGTTCTAAATGCAGAGAAGGTGTTGATCATTGACAGCAAAAGAAGCTTTTCGAGTTTGTCCTCTGGAGTGCTCAAGGACACTTTCACAACTGGAACCAGTAGTTACAATGTTCTACTACAGAGCAAAGAGGAGAGAAAGCACCATTCACAAAAGCAATTTCCCTCTGCCTTCTCCAAAAGACGTAGAAAGCCCAGCAAATCTCCTAGTTCCTCTCATAGCAAAGATCCTCACAGGATGACAGCCCTGGTGCCTGTGACGAGCAGTGGTACTTGGTTCTGCCTGGACAGGCAGTCTGCTGTTTTTGTCACTAGTTCAGTACCAAGTCCTGTCAAGTTTACCCGTGATATCTCTGTTACAGGGAACGGCCTAACACTGCCACCTAAACCGAAAAGCAAGGCCAACCGCCACAGCCTCACCTCTCTTCCAAAGTCAAAGCAGCAACCTCAGCTGTGCAGAAGCTTTGAGAAGGGAGACGACCTTTCTGGGAAGAAATTCTGTATACTGACCGCAATAAAGCCGACCAACCTGGAGAAAGAAAAGCTGAGGTTCTTCAAGTCAGATTATACTTACAACCCTCAGTTTGAGTATGCCAACCCCACTCTGCCAGGTGTGTTAGCCAAATACAGCAACGCCTCTGACCGATTTCTTAAGCAGGTAAAATGCCACTTCTCTAGTAGTATATCCTCATTATGTAGCTGAAGCAATTATCTAACATTTTATAAGCAAAAAGAGATAGCTTATACCCCTGTGATCAACTCCCACCAAGGGGTAGCTATGCGGTAAGAAGTTTGCAAGTGAGTGCTTTTGCTCACCTCTATGAGAACATGTTGCACTAACCAAAATCCACAAAGACTCTACACTGTGTGCTCTGACTGGAAGACACCACACCTGGGAACCACTTGTGATTCTATGCTTTGGTTTAGAAGTTATGAACTTGTGGCTCATTAGCTAGCCCACAGATGAGGGTTAGGTAGACTGCACTGTTTCCCCCTTGGGGTATAGGAGATCAAACCCAGGTCTTGAACATGCTAGGCAATTGTTCTACACCAACATCCCTTCACGAACGTACTGGAGACAACCTCTAGTAACCCAGGCTAACCTCAGATTTACAGCATGGCTGAAGAGATCCTGGAACTCCAGATCTTCCTGCTTCTGCCTCCTAAGTGCTGGCATTGGGCTGGTGAGGTGGCTCAGCAGGTAAAGGTGCCTGCCACCAAGTCTAACACCCTCAAATCAGTTGAACCCCAAGAAACACAAAGTTAGGGAGGAGAGACCTGACTTCTGCAAACCGTCCTCCAACTCCACATGCACGTGTGTGTCACCCCCACATACAATATTATTAGAAATAAATAAGGAGTGTGCATACACTTGTGCATATACATAGCTTGTAAAGCTTTTAAAATTCCTCAAGTGATTTAAAATATGCTTGGCATTTTCCTTGGGAGAAGAACTTTCTCTCCTGCCTTTGTGTTTTTCAGTGAGCACTCACCTTTTTTTTTGTTGTGCAGACAGGGTTCCAAATGACCCCGCCTGGTCCAGAGTTCCTGTGGAGGGACAATGACCTTGACCTTCTAGTTGTCCGTCTGCTTACTTTATGAGTGCTGGGGCTCAGACTCTGGGCTTCGAGCATCCCAGGCCTGCTTTGCTTTTTTAGTTGGCAGTCACTCTTATGCCCCTCCCTTTTTTGTAGATTGTGTTATTGGGTAGACTTTCATAAATTTAAATTTTATAATTGTAAAAATACCACTTATTTACCTCCCCTCAGTGCTGAAAATGTCGACTGAGATTTACTGACCAGTATTCTTTAATATGAAGCCCAGTATACAGCATCCCGTGCATTGGGAAGGAAAGCACCATGTCCCATCAGAATGAATTCTCTGTCACTTCTCTGGAAGGTAGTTGACACTGGTTGCCTGTAGCTCACTTCCATCTGCAGGCAACTAAACACGCTTGAACTGCCCTACGTTTCTAAAAAGCACCACTAGTCCTAGCTGGCTTGTACCTTAAATGCCACAAGCGGGGACATGTTCTCAATCGATTCCAGATTTGCTCTCTAAGGCACTTAATCAAATGAAAGAAAAAATCACAGAATGTGGAAAAATGTGCTTGAAATCCTCTTCAGGATCCGAGTGAGTTATAATATGACGTCACACATCTTCCCCTGCCCAGCCCTGAAAAAGCTTCATCCTAGGAAGAGATCTCCAGGACTCAGCAGCAGTCTCAGGAGTTTCGAAGTCTGGGTGCTTCCGAGGCAGGCTCTCTGTTGTTGGAGGATGGTTATGGTCCTGAACTGAAGAGTAATAACCCTGCCAGAGTGAGCCAAGACGGCACGTAGACTCTTGACTGTTCCTATTGGTCTCCCTGTCAATGGTCAAGGAGTTCTGGAACTCAGCCACCAGGGCATCCAGTGTGGGCAGCAGAGTGTAAGCCAGAACAGAGCCTAGTGAGCCCTGCCTAGACAGGCTAGAAACTGGTATCCTCAGTTTTCCTGCTCTTGGATATATTTAAACTTACCAGAAACCTAGGGGTGGGTGTGGTGGTTCAAGCCTTTAATCCCAAAGACAGAGGCAGGTGGAGCTGTGAGAGTTCAAGGCCAGTCTGGTCTACATAGTGAGTTCCAGGACAGCCAGAGCTATGTAGAGAGACCAAAAACCCTGTCTTTTAAAAAAGAGAGAGAAGAGAAAAATCAAGTCTTTAAATTATACCTCTCTCTAGATGACATATTTTTCTATTTAGAAAATCACAAATCTTTCACAGATATCTTAACATAGTAAGGCTAATAGGTTATTTAAAGGTTACTATGTCCCATGGACGTTTTATATACTACATAGGAGAAGTGGGGCCATTTCTCAACCTCATAACAAAAAAGATTCTCTTATATCAGAGTTGGAAGTATGACATTGATGAATCACTGAAGACTTTGCACATTGACCTTTGGAAGCAGTATTAGCATGTGCTCTAACAGTTTTTACTAGGAAACCGCCTGAATAGATGCTTGTTCTGTTGGAGATGTGATGGAATGGTTTGCACTATTATGCTGTTTATAAACAACCTGGTAGCCATCACATTCTCATGTCCACTAACCTTTTTATACACCCAGTCTACCTCCATCCCTGTACACACAGACTATAGAAGAGGAGATCCAAGGGCCCAGAGGAATGGGCTGTGTCTGACTTTGGCATGTATCAGAGTGTCTAAGGTCTGTTTATTCCCTGGTCTCTGCATATGTGGATAGGTAGAATGGTTTTTAAGTATTTGGGCTGTCTCTTTTATTATAACATAATCCTAGCCTGCATTTATGTTATGGAAAACGTATTATTGGCAAAAGCATTTTCATTACCCTAGTCTCTCCCTGCTTTCCACATTGTTGTCAGGGTCTTTCTAAGGTTCAGATCTGGTCATGGCACTTTCCTTCCTGAAAACATTTCAGGCTTCCTTAAAACCTACCTTGAAACCAAAAAGCTTTTTTTTTGTTTGTTTGTTTTAATTATTTATTTATTATGTATACAGTGTTCTGCCTGCATGTGTCCCTGCAGGCCAGAAGAGGACACCAGATCTCATTATGGATGGTTGTGAACCACCATGTGGTTGCTGGGAATTGAACTCAGGTCCTCTGGAAGAGCAGCCAGTGCTCTTAACCTCTGAGCCATCTCTCCAGCCCCGAAACCAAAAAGCTTTTAAACAATCTTTATTACTTATTTTGTTGGGGTACTCAGATGCCACAGTGCATGTGTGGAGGTCAGAGAACAGTTTGTGGAAGTCAGTTTTCTTCTACCATGGGGCTTGTCAGGCCTGGTGGCACATGCCCTTCCCTGCTGAGCACTGTCCCTGCCCCTAAGTCCAAACTGCAAAACCTCTCACCAAAGTCAGTTCTGTCCTCTCAGACATCTTATACAAGTACCTGCCATTGCACTGATCAGTGGATCAACTGTCAAGTTTCCTTTTCTTTTCTCCTAGCTAGCGGCACCCCCCCCCCCCCCCCCCCCCCCCCCCCCCCCCCCCCGTTACTAGCAGTGTAGGTTACTTACTCCAAACGTCACAGGCTTGTGCACTTCCTTGCACTGAGTTTCCCAGGCCAGGCTCCACTTTCTTTGATTCCTGTATGTTATAACAGTAACCATCCCCTCTGCCTGTAATAACCCTTGTTTCCTCTAATGTCCTACATCTGCTTGCATTTTTCTATGATTTCACAATGCTTTCTTTATAACTACATTCAGAGTATCATTATATGTGTTTATATGTCATCTCTGCCAGCCTAATGGCAGGAGAGGAACTTAGATTCTGAAATATGAAAGTAATAGTGATTGACACAGGAGTTGACAGAAGTTTGAATGACTAAGGGATAGACAAATTAATATTCCTTTTTCCTGGTAGGTAAACATTTATATACTATTGGGATTAATCCACGGAGTCTATTTAATGATCAAAGGAATTTATTTGGGGGTAAATTCACAACCATGGAAGATTTATCGTAGGGTCTGGGAAAGCTGAGCTATGTCCCATGCTGAACGGCTTGGTCCAAGATGTCAGCATCCAGAACCACGAGGTGTAGGTGCATCCCCAGTCTTGTTTTTCTGTTGTTGTTGTTCCACTTCTAATGTCCTCTACCTCCTAGTTTATGAATCCTTATACGTTGCCACAGATCTTTTTTTTATAATTTAATTTTTTTTATGTGCATTGATGTTTTGCTGCATGTATGTCTGTGGGAGGGTATTAGACCCTGGAGTCACAGACAGTTGTGAGCTGCCATGTAGATGCTGGGAATTGAACCCGGGTCCTCTGGAAGAGCAGTCAGTGCTCTTAACCACTGAGCAATCTCTCCAGCCCTGCATTCCCAGTCTTAAGGGTGCTCAGTGGCCATGCCCCAGGGGCAGGTTCCTCAAGGTCACAGGCAGGTGTAACAGCTACAGCTGCCTCACTAGGGGTGGTGCTTCAGGGCACGGCCCAAACAGCTGTCCTCTACAATATACACCTATATACCTAATACAACAGCCTTTATAAACAGTGGACCCAATTTTTAGTGACCCATGGTCAACTTCAGCCTACATACATGTTTGTATGTGTGTTGCCAGCATAGTGGTTTTAAAAATTAGAATGTGAAAGTGTTCTCATGTTACCTGTCCCAAGTATCTTATGCAGTACTTTACACATGGTTACTGCCTACATTGAAGACCTTGTGGTGTGGCCCTACTGTGGACCGTGCCATGTAAGTTTATTGTTACATCCCTTCAAATTTGGCTGTAGTGATCAGATTAAGCAATTACAAGTCTTTATTTTCTAATTTGTAGCCAAGAAACAGTAACCACTATCGGAAAACTCACTTAGGTTTGAAATGTTGCTTTTCATTCTGAGAATACTGGAGAGAGTGAGCATGTGTGTTTGTGTATTGCGCGACACACGTTGTATTAGTTTCCAAGGTCACTTTGTACTGTCGGCACAGCAGTGGCTTGTCAGAGTATTTTAACTCTGCCATCTAATGTTGTCTGAACCGTCTGAGCATGACCTCTTTAAATGTAACCCTCTCTCAGGAAATGGTTTAGATAGCACTGGTGTAAAGAAAAAGACTCGAAGGCTGGGGACGTAGTTCAGTCAGTAAAGTGCTTGGCACTAAAGCATGGACGTCTTGAGTTTGGTCCTCAAACTCATGATCACAG